GAAAGGATGCTGTAGGTGAGAACATGGGTAGTGTACTTTGGTAGACTTTTCATAGGCACAGACCATCTTGTAATACACATGCATAGATGCTGTCAAAAGTGCAGTCTTATTAGGATAAACACCTTCTTACCACTTAGTAATACTTATTTAACAATAAAAAAAATTAATAATTTGTGGATGAAGTCGACGTGGGATGAAGCTATGGCATGAACATTATTTTATTGTGCCTTTTTTATAATTTAAAAAAAGTTGGGTGTACTTATTTTATTAAAGTATCTATTAGAGCCACCCTCTAATTTATTCTTGATTAGTGTGTTTTTTAATTAAATTTTCCCCAGATATCACTTTGTCTGTGTTTAGTTCAGGTACTTTCTGTGGAGATTCTCTAGTTCCAAGTGGAATATGTAATTGTGGGGACCGCGTGGCCCGCTTAGCCAACTGGTCCAAGCGGCTAACTGATTCGAAGGCCTTGAACGACTGGATTAAAGTTGAGAGGTCCAAAACCCAGGTGCTGTTCCCGATTGTTTGTTCTCTGTTTCAAGTTTTTTCCCTATATAAAATACGAATCCGAGTTTGAAGAAGGGGAAGGAGAAGTAGCCCTCAATCTGCATCATATAGAAGAAGATTTATTCAATCACACAAGTTGGGCTCCTAGAATATGGCACCCTTGGGGCTTTCTATTTGATTGTATCTATAGAGGCAAAAAACTGGTTATACTTTTATGTGAATTTGTGATACGGTTTCTGGGAATGAAGTCTGAATAATCTCCTTAACTCTTTCCCGCAAAATGAAAAATTGTTCAAGATCGAAGTGTTTTGATTGAAGGCACTCCGATGCTTAAGTCAGTAATGGAATAAAAAGAATTGTGCTAAGTCTAGGAGAATTCAGTGTACCTTTCACCTTGTTCTCTTCTGTTTTTTATAAATCCTCTTAAGGTTTTCATGATTTTAGGTTCAAGGTGGCACACCTTCTTACAATTCAGTTATTCAGTTTGAAAAGTTGCTAACATTTCTCCAATAATTCCTCTTGATATCACTAGTTTCGTTGATTCGTTTATTTGATTGCCTGAGTTATAGGCGTATATTTATCCTTCTGCTTATCTGTAACAGCTTGGGCATATCAAATACCGAGCATACTTGATTTAAGCCGAACAGATTGAGGAACTCAGCTTGATACAAACCTATTTCCTCGATTGCCATACTAGATACTTTTTCGGACTCGATTTGGTACAAACCGAGCTCTTTCATTGCTTAACCGAACAGACTGATGAGTTCGGTTATAAAGAGAACCAATATATTGCCGAACCTTCAATTAGCTCGGCTCGGTTAAAAATCTCTTAATAGACAATCTTTTGTCACGTGGCTGGTCTTATCAACATCACGTGAGTACATTTAATACTGTGTCACGTGTAATCATGAGGTTTAACCCCTTCATTGATCAAATAGCTAATGGGTATCCATCCCTAAGGGGCTCTGGCTTATAAGGGGGTGGGGGAGACGACTCTCAGTCGATGTGGGACGAAGCTCTGCACGGACACTGAGAGGTAAAAGGTTACTGGATTATCCTAGGAAGGGGTCCAGGTCAGCCAAAATCCTTCCGTTCATGGATGAGATTCGAACGCGCGATTTCTACCTCTAACAGTATCGAAAGTCACAATAAATTAGGATTTTTTTTATTGGTCCAGGTCATTTATGACGAAGATAATGAGCTTCAAGAGAATAATTCGGAGTTCTTGCAGAATGAAACCATATAGTACTAGACACGAGATAAATCTTCCAAAAAATAAGGACTTTTTCGAATAAGCCAATTCATATGGAACCTTACATATCCACTATTTTTCTTATTCAAAAATCAGTCATTTATGTCAGTGTTTTCACATCGAGAATTATTTGTAGACTAATAGATACCAAATGGGCTTCTTAGTTCCGAAATAGATCCTCCTATATCTATATATAAATGATGACTTATCAAGAATATGCTAGAAGAACACTTTGAATTGTTGATTAGTCATCAGAGATAGTTTAGAACTAATAGTTCATTATCTAATAGATCTTTCTGTTCTAATAATCTATCCAAGAATTATCAGTATTTATTAAATCTGTTCTTATATAACGGAACATTGGTAGATCAAATGACAAAGATATTGTTGAGAAAAATATGGCATTTCCCATAAGAAATAAAAATTGAATTCATGTAATAGGAAAAAGATTTTTCATTCCATAGTCGAAAAGATATGTGGCCATAAAAAGAGGGATTAAGTGGAAAAGAATTAACTGTGTGGTAGAATCATAAAAAGGCTTGTTTCTTCTATAATTTGGACCATAACTTCATGAAATAAAATACTACTGCCGAGAGTCCAAGACCAAGGTGCTGTACCCAATTGTTCTCTGTTTCAAGTTACAGACCAAATTCAAATCCCAGCCTGCCTAAACTTGCTCCTCTGGGACCTCACATTTGAAATTAGAACAAAGTTTTTTTTTTCTATTTTTTGCTCTTTTGCTTTTGTTTTTGGTTTTGGTTTGGCTTTCGTATTGAAAAGGAATGGAAATACTATCGCAAGGTAATCCAGATTGTGACATGCCTCGATCCTAGATATGTCATTGTAATAATTAGATTAACAATTTATTAGATTTTTATAGTGTTACTAGTATTTTTGTGACTCGAAGTCCAAAAATAAGTGTGCCACATGGATAAAGGATAATCATGCATGTGTATATACGAATTCTTTTTTTTTTTTTATTTTACTAATTCTTTTTTTTTTTTAAGTCAAACAATTTTATTAATAGAAAAGATAAGCTCCATACACAGTGAAGGGGAGTTTTTCTTTTAAAAAAAAAACTGTAAAAAACCCTATAGATCAATCAAAGTGCTTGATCAGGCAATGCAATATCAACAAGGTATAAATTAAAGGCTAATTTTCACTTCCCGTGTTGGATGTATATACAAATTCTTAGGCGTCACTGTTTTGAAAACCGATTTTTAATTAAGGGTGATTCCTACCCATGAATTCGTATCACATGATATTCGATATTGACTTTCTCTCTCTTGAAAGTAACACATTAGATATGTTAGTTTTTCATACATAGCATGTCACTAAGTTTTGAATGATATTTACAATTATTCCCTAAAACCATATTAAGGGCAATATGGAATCAAAATTAAAATCAATAGTAACAATTTTTATTCTATGCAAACGATCTAGCGTGACACCCACGTCACGCAAAGCTTTGCTAACATATATTTAAAACACAAACATACAAGACATGGCATGGCATCTAAAGCAAAGTTTAACAATCTTGCTCAACTTTAACTCGTCCATGGATGAAGCACATCATGACCACCACACACTAGAATTCAGCCCACTGTTCATCGGCCTTCTTGGCGTCCTCGTCGAAGTTATCATGGTTACAACTTTTCACTGCATAGTTGTTAGGTTGTTGTAATAACAATCACCCCCGAACAACCACCCCAACTGCTACTGGTCAACGACAAATCATTAGAACCAACAANTGGATAAAGGATAATCATGCATGTGTATATACGAATTCTTTTTTTTTTTTTATTTTACTAATTCTTTTTTTTTTTTAAGTCAAACAATTTTATTAATAGAAAAGATAAGCTCCATACACAGTGAAGGGGAGTTTTTCTTTTAAAAAAAAAACTGTAAAAAACCCTATAGATCAATCAAAGTGCTTGATCAGGCAATGCAATATCAACAAGGTATAAATTAAAGGCTAATTTTCACTTCCCGTGTTGGATGTATATACAAATTCTTAGGCGTCACTGTTTTGAAAACCGATTTTTAATTAAGGGTGATTCCTACCCATGAATTCGTATCACATGATATTCGATATTGACTTTCTCTCTCTTGAAAGTAACACATTAGATATGTTAGTTTTTCATACATAGCATGTCACTAAGTTTTGAATGATATTTACAATTATTCCCTAAAACCATATTAAGGGCAATATGGAATCAAAATTAAAATCAATAGTAACAATTTTTATTCTATGCAAACGATCTAGCGTGACACCCACGTCACGCAAAGCTTTGCTAACATATATTTAAAACACAAACATACAAGACATGGCATGGCATCTAAAGCAAAGTTTAACAATCTTGCTCAACTTTAACTCGTCCATGGATGAAGCACATCATGACCACCACACACTAGAATTCAGCCCACTGTTCATCGGCCTTCTTGGCGTCCTCGTCGAAGTTATCATGGTTACAACTTTTCACTGCATAGTTGTTAGGTTGTTGTAATAACAATCACCCCCGAACAACCACCCCAACTGCTACTGGTCAACGACAAATCATTAGAACCAACAATCAAGAAGAGCTTCCTAGTAGTAGTAGCACCAACAGCAGCAGCAACACCACCGCGAGCAATTCAACAGTGGCTCTGATGGCAATGTGCATATACAGACAATTAGAATGTAAAGAAGAGACGTGTGCTGTGTGTTTAAGTGAATTCAATGAAGGTGATGAAATTGGTATACTGCCTAAATGTGCACATATATTTCATGTGCAATGCATTAATAAGTGGTTGTGTTCAAACCCTAATTGTCCACTTCGCCGTGCCGGTATTGTGCCTTGGCCACAGAACGATGTTGCAGTGTCCTTACCGGATTCCGGGGGTGTCCCGCCACCGGAGCTGTACGAGGTGCCCCATTTTGGAGGTTGAGGTTTTTGTATATTTGGGTACAAACTGTAAGGTCTAAGTTATCTACAGTATTTTGATTAGCTTAGAAGTGATCAATTTTTTTTTATATGAACACATACAAGAGAATATCTGCACGTTCAATTGAATGCACTTCTCGGACAATTTAATGTGCATTCAATTCAAGTTAGGTTCGTAAAATCAAAAAGTATTGTCGAAAGTTGAAACAGACTAAGTTTTTAGCTCAAGCTCCATCCAAGTACTAAGAATTTATATTTAAGTATTTAGTTCAAATTAACCTCTTTAAATTGCACCTTATTCTTGTTGGATTTTTTTGTGGAGTCTAGTTTGTGTTGATTTAAATAATGATCCGACCCAAAATATGTTGCGTGGTTTTTAATAAAAAATTTTCTGAGGCTTAGTCCAATGCGCAGGACATATAAAACCATGTTATTTTGGTGATTAAGGTTTTAAGTGCATTGTATAGCCGTTCTCTGTATTCATTTCTCTCAATAGTAAAATTCCTGCAATTTCGTGGACGTAGAAAAATTACCAAATCACGTAAAATATGTGTCTCTTGTTCTTTCTTGTTTCTCATTATTTTTTATGTTCTTGATTTATTCTTCGATTGTGTGTGTTTATCTGTGGGTTTGAAGAGCCTTAAATCTCAACAACTGGTATCAGAGCTCTGGATTAAGAGATCAAGGGTTTACACAATGGCTAAAGACAAAGTCAAGATCGAAAAATTCAATGGCATGAACTACGCGTTCTAAAAGATGCAAATGGAGGATATTTTATATCAGAAGAATCTGTATCAACCTA